GCCAAGTGCTTGCTGATGCTTTTCACACTAGAAATTGTTTCTTTCTTAACTGTGCTCTCAGTCTTGCACTCAGTGTTTTAAATTGTTACAAGGAATCCAAAGTTTTCACATTTCGGATGAGTAATCTTGCTTTCTTTGCTGTGCCTCCTGCCTTCTTCTGTGCCAYTGAAGGTCAGCATCTACAGAAGCCCTGGGGAATATATAGAGAGGACTGGACCAGGCCTTGGTTAACAAGTGCATGTTCAACTGTGGCAGTGTTTTCATTCCATCCATGGTACTTGCTCAGTCACTGCTGTCTCTCCTGAAAATCTCTAGGATCTGAATATTTCTTGCAGAAGGCTGTTCTTAGGAAGAAAGGTCGAAAAGTTTGTCTTCTCATGGCACAGAGTGATTATGTGCATTTGAGTTGTAAGTGCCATTAAATGGACATCAATGCATCCACATCGATGGCTGGGGCCATCTCTTTAAGGTTTTGTTTTGTCAAACAGCACCAAAGGGGTGGAAATCAAGTGGACCTCTATATTAAAATACTGAATGGAAAATACTTGTTCAGATCTATTCTGTTCAAAATATAAACTTCTGTAGTCATAATATATCAACTCAACACAGTTTAGCCATCTGTGTACTTCAGCAGTTCAGCTGCAGTCTACAGCCAATGCAAGCAAAACACTGACTTTTGTTCTGGTTTTGAGTCAGAAGGTACTAACTGAATTTACAGGGATGAGCAAAAAGCACCAATGGATACAGAATGGAAARGATCATATGTCTCCCCAACTCAGGAAAGTCTAAATATGAAAGATGATTCTAAGAAGATTTTGTCAGCAAAGAACCTACCCTTCCAGTGCCATTGCTTATTCTCCAGTTGGCTTGTGGTCTCTCTGTATTTCGGGTGGAGGAGATACTTGTGATATTGTATCACTATGGTTTATAAAGTGCTGTGCACTGTATGGCACAATATATGGTGGGTTTTTGAGAGACGATATTTTTTTTCCAAATACTGTTCTATTTGCCTTGTTTCTGCTGCCTGTATTGATTAGATCCTGCTACATGTATCTCCTTGTAACAGCATGTAGTAAAAACYGTGCTTTCAGATTCAGTGTGGTTACTTATAAAGCTAGTATTTGTATTCTTGCTGATCAAATAATGGTCAGGAGGGTAAGAATTAGAATTTCACAGTGCTGGCAAGTGATGGAATTGGAGGCCTTCATGAGGAATGAGCGCTTTCCAGTGCTGGTCTGTCACTCCCTGCCMCTTCAATCCACTGCCACACCAAACRGAAGCTTACTGGGAAACTTAACATCATGWAATACAGGAGTGTAGACACACATGWAATATAAATGCTAAAAAATGAACTGATCAAGGGAGTAAGGCTACCTGAGCGAAATGTGGAACAGGGACTTGTAGCAGTCTTGCTACAAGGGTGTGACCAGAAGGATTCCTTCTTTTTCCAAGCTGATTTGTCATTTTGCCAAGGCTGTTTAGCTGCCCTGCCGTATTAATTCCTCTTATTTCCTGCCATGTGCTAGTGCTGTGCCATGCCAGTCTTATCTTCTTTAATGAACATCTTTGAAATGTGTTTTCATGATAACTGTCTGTATGGAGTATGATACTGGCAGCTTCAAATTTTTATTAACCTGCCTTACTAAATGGTATTTAACTGGAGATGTGGAAGTATTTATGTAATTGAGCCCAGCTGCTTAAAAGACCTGTCACACACAGAGTCTGGTCATTAGCAAATGATCTGGGGCCAGCTTTGTGACAGCAGCAAGAAGTAAACTGCTGAGAAGGAATTTATGTAGAAAATTATTACTTACTCATATAYATAAAACCTCTATCCCATGTGTGGTGATGCTGAAGTTCTTGAATTCCTGTGTGGGTTTAATGGGACTGAGAATGCAAAATTGTGCCAAAAGGAGAGTTTTCCTTCTCCATTTTGATGTGTGTGGTGATATGGTTTCAGAGGTGAGGTTTTTTTCATGCAATAAAAAATGCATTTTAATTTCAAGTAAATGTAAGGAGTATGTCCTCTGAGCACCTAAGTATTTTCTGTTATAATCCAGTCCAGCAGTACAATAATTTAAGAAATATAAATCCTGGTGTGTTCTGTGCTGTTGYAGTGATAACTTTCACTGACAGGGATGTTTTTAACTTTTGCAGGATTCGTATGCTGATTGATGAAGGCTATGAAGACAGAATTCTGATGGCTCATGATGTGCACACCAAGAACAGGTTGATGAAATATGGAGGTCATGGATATTCACATATCTTTAAAAATATAGTTCCTAAAATGCTAATTAGAGGCATATCCCAAGATAAAATTGATAAAATACTCCTAGCAAATCCAAAGCGGTGGTTGACTTTTAAATAGGAATAGTAAATGAATATGCCTGTTTTGCAGGGAAGCTTCATAAAATTCAGATTTCAGGAGAGTAGCCATTTTAAATATCTGATCTTTTWCAGAGAAACTGAAAATTATTAGGTAGATGCAAACAAACTGATTTTAAGTTTTCTTTTTAATTAGAATATAAAAACTGTGTACTGTCTCTACATTTTCTCCCTTCTGAAAATTTGGTCATGAATGTTTTATTGAATGAGCCTACCTARMAWTTTTTTTAATTGAAATTTTGAAATAATTGTTTTAAAAGCRTAATCTGAATGTTACCCGCAAACTRCTTTTGAAGATGCATCACCTGGATTTGGAARGAAATTATGGTTTTCAGTTAAATTTTCTCTCTCCAAGGGCTGATTTTAATCCTTGTAATACTGACAATCTTCTAATTATCCTTATATTCTTTAAGTAATACTTGATGAAAGGTCTGGAACTTTTAAATAGTTGCCATAGACAAGAGAAGGAAGGAGGAATCTCAAATAAATCTATAAAGATAATGTTTCTTTCTAGTTTAACAATTTACTTAATTGTAACTGAAAATGTAAAAAATACATGGAAAAATATATTTTTGAATAAAGCAATTTGATCACCTTTTAAACCATGTGCAGTATTATTACAGATGTCTGGTTTTAATTGCATTAAATTTTGGTCATGAACTTGGAATCTCACAGCAATCATGTAAAACTTGACACATAWCAGCTTCTTTTTGTAAGGAGGCAACACCAGCACTCAAAATATATTACATAATACAGTTTTAATGAGTTGTAATAGTTATAACAAAGGTTGTGATATAAGTCTTTACAAATCAGTATATCAAGATATGATGAAAAAGGAAGAAATGTTTGCCTTATATGTGGTTTTCACATAAAGTGTTTTCTTTGCTCTTGTCTAACTTTAACCAGGGCAGGTGATTTATCCAAAAAATGGATAAATCCAGTAGCAGTGGTAGCCTGATCTCAAAAGCATCTTCAAATTTGATGGTGTACGTCTTGTAGTATTGAGCTTTACCAATGAACACCTTAGTAAAAGCACACTGCTGGGTGTAAATGGTCTCTAGCTCGGAGCAGGACTGTTGGACACTACAGGGAATCTCTAGCTACGCTGCTGGGGGGGTGCACTGGCCAGCAACAGCAACAGTGGAGCCAACAGACAAGTCAGTTACACATCTGTCWTTAAAAGAATTGCCTCATAGAAATAAAACAGGAGTAGCCACTACAATGTACAGATATAGGTTGGCATTTCGTCATAAGGTAAAAGCATTAACCATTCTGCTGAGATAATACACAAGCAGCTGGCAGCATGATGTCCCCCTGTAAACCCTGGGTGACTTTGCATGGTGATGCTCTCATTGAGCGTGGACTCACTCAGCATTTGTTTTGAATTAGACCACTCAAAACAGAAGGAGTAACACATTCTGTTTAAGAAAATGTTCACTCATTCAAATAAGAGAGTTTTAGAGTGACGTGTAAAATCTTTATCAGACTKTGGCTGAGCAGCCAGCACTGGAGAGCTTTTTTGTCAGAGTGGCAGACACTTTGGAAATTCCAGTGCAGATAAATCTAAGTTTGTACCCTTATTAGATTAGACAAGGTTGCTTGTGACAGAGTATATGAAATAGCAATGCTGGGGGTAGCCTCCATTACTCTTCAGTGATTTACAGAAATGTTACCTTGATTTTGCCAAAATGTTAAATAACAAACTGTGCTAAAGAAATTTAATAATCTTGCTAAAATTTAGGTTTAGAATGAAATCTGCAAGTTTTAACCTGAGACAAATAGCCTCCCAAATCCAAAACAACTAATAAATCCATTTTCTGAATAAAAATGTTCTGCGGACRTTACTGCTATGAGTGATTTTAAAGCGTTTTTATAACTATGTATCTGTGTTTAGTTTAATTCTCCAAGCCATTAATCCTCTATATGGATTAAGCTTCTTTGAGACTTTATATATCTATATCTATATCTATATGAATGAGAAAAATAGGTTTTAATACACACTTCTTTTTTGCATGTAAATATCTGCTTCTTTCTTTGCATATGTGTTATCATTTTTGGTAATATGCTTCTCTGTGTCCGCCTCATAGGCACACCTTACTACACACTGAACTAGCTTCCATGGAAAAGGTCTCTGTGACAGCATTTTCTCATGTGTCAGATCTCCCACTCTTTTGCTGGAAAAATCCTACTAACTTCAGTGGGACAAGACACCTAAGACAATTAAGGTTTTGACCCATTATACTCCTATGAAATTCTAATGGAACATCTGCAGTATTTAATCCATAGCTACTTTATTAAAAATAGTACCGAGGTAAAGACTAAGTGCTAAAAGACTAATGAAGACTARCTGCTGCAAAGAAAACACTCTGCTTTAGTCTGATGGTGTGGATGCCAGGCTTTCTAAATATTTACACAACTAACCATCAAGAATGGGCCTGTAATTATTGTCTAAACATATATTTACATGTATACAAAWTAAAAGCCAAATCCCTTTTCCACGAACAGCAATGGGAGTTTTGCCATTTGCTTTGGTAGAATCAGGGATACGGTCCAATATAGTTTGTCAACTGTTACATTTTTCAGGGGACAATAGTGTTTCTTCTAGCCTTCTTTTTCTTTTAGAGGACATTTAAGGGAGAGACAAAATTTAAATAACTCCACTGGATTGATTTTATGCTAAAGGTCTAATGTAAACCTACAAAGCAGGAACATTGAGTTAAGGCTCAAAGCTGATTAGTTTCCAGTTTTAAATGGAAAGGTAAGAAAAGTACAAGGCAAACAATTTCTTTGCAGAGAGAAAGTATATTTTGATTACCTCTTCCTTTTATTGTAAAATCATTCCTCACCACACTATGAGTGGACTCCAAGCATCATTGTTAGCAGGTAAGTCACAAGAACCAAAGCTGAAGTATGGATAAAGCAGCAAGATCATAACACATCAAAGTATCATATACACTGAAGAAATAACTCAGCGTCCTTAGGTGGGCTTTTTTTCCTATAAAAATTTGATCTATGTAGAACTTCATTCACATGGACACTAACAATGAGGAAGTATTTGCTTTGGCGGAAGTGGATCGCACATCTGTTTAACTTGGTTTGTGGGTTTTTAACATAAGGTTTCTCTGTGTTGCACAGATGTGAATCAGGTAGCATTCGACTGTTTTCCCCCGCTGCTGAGGTGTTTGGTGGTCGCTCTCTGCTGGGGTGCTCGTTTCATTGACTTTTGCCACACAAATCCATCGTTTAGAAGAGCRGGCTTCGTTTCTCGACTGGTTTGGTGGGTCTTTTTACTCAGTATCAGTCAGCATAAATAATAAATCCAGAAAATGTGCTGTATTTGTTGTTGTTTCCTCCATGTGCTTTTCCTCCATCTAATTTAATGTAAACTTCATCTCCTGGCTCCAAGTGAAGAACCACACTGTTACTGGCGTAGTCGTAGTTCTGATCAGCATCCTGAGCAATTGCACTAGCTCGAACCTACATAAAATACAGAATGACTGGTTAAGGAAACTCAGGGAAATCTTCCTGCATGCTGAAATTAAAGCAAGTCCTCAATGTTTTATTCAACATGCATGAGCTGCCWCTTTAAACATCTGGCAACCTATATGGTAGTTTCTTCCTTATTGCTTATTTTCTCCTACAATACTTCTGAAACTAAAGCAATCATATGCTCCTGTMTCAGTCGTCTGATGAATGAACAACTGCCTGATCTTCTGGAGATGTCTGGAACCTTTTTAAATATATGTGTAAGAATAGCTGGAGTCGGGAGAAATGGGCTTGGTCATGTACCAATTTTATATTGGTGTAAATTTTGTATCAGTGGGGCAAGTGATTGACAATGGTGAGGATCCACAGGAAGGCCCAGAGAGCTCCCAAGATGGACTTTTTCCAGAGGCAGTTTATTGTCATACCAATAGGATCATGCTGCAAAAAAGAATAGAGGAAGTACACCCCCCACACACACGCATATGCATACAAGCAGGTAAGGAACCTAGTCTGGGTTTGGAAAAACTGCTGTTACCACATTTGAGTGAGCAAACATTTAATTTCGCTGTGTTTTAAGAGATGCACCTTCAAAAAATCACTATTTGCTTTAAGAGGATTTTGGAATTTACAAGTCATTGAGGGCTTTTCATTTGCAACTTTCTCTTAAATATACTTTTTTCCCCATTTCTCCCTTGGTATTCCACTACTGATTAAATTTGACATTTCTTGCAAACTGGAAGTAATCTGTAATTTCAAGATATATGTTGGTTTCTAGCAATGAACAGCCTGTGCCATTGTAAGTCTCCAAATCATTTATATATAATTTGACTCTGTTTGGTAAAATATTTAAACATGGTTGTATGTGATTTATTTCAGCGTAACACGTCATCTGCTTGTTGCTTGTCTTTGTTCTAGCGTAGTTACAGAGCAGTAAATGATTTAGTGGCATTGCAAATCTGAACTAAGTAATAATGCATGACTTGGCGTACTATATGTGGGATTTTTTCTGTTCTGAACTGAAAAAATAGGCTATAAGTCACAATTTTCCATGGATTCCTTTCAAAGTTTACATGATATATTTCCAAATTAAATGGAAATGATTTCACATTAATATTGAAACGTTAAAAAGGAGGGGGTTCTTTTAACATGCAGGATCTTGTGGCATTATGCAGCTTAAAAATCACAGTAGGTGGAAATTCTTTATGCATCCTGTAAGAACAGTGAGAAAGGCTGCAAAGGCTTGCAGAGCTGTGACAGGCTGCAAATTTAAACTGATACATGGCATGATGATAAACCCTGACTATTTCAGGACTTCTTGATCCTGACTCGCCTGGTATTGTTTACAGAGGTGATCTGTTTTGATCGGTTTTAAAGCAATAATTATTCTAAGTACTGGATGTTTCCTCTGGATTAATGACTGGCAGGGTGGAGTTGAAGGCTCTGGGTTATTAACCCTGGAAACACCTTCCAGGGAAAACAATGGTTTGAGATGGTTGCTGGCAGTGGAAATGRGAAGGGCAAATGGGGAGGAGTGAAAAGGCTACAGATGAGGTAGAAAAACTTTCACAGAGAAYTAGTATCTTGTATAGTGGTGAGCAAAATTATTTAAAGGACTTTTCAAATTCCTATTTACTTCCTAATGAAATGCTACTTTTTAGGTTTGTATAAAATATTGTGTTTCTGTGGATGGTAAGGGAGAATTAGAATTATATTAGTGACTATCCTAAGGGAGTCAGCATGTGGACACTGGCTACAACAGCAATGGATATTTCATTTTTWAGATTCTAAATAGTACATACTGGCTGGGGGGAAAAAAAGAGAAAGATTCTGGGTATTGAAAGTCCAGAAACCAAAATGCAGATCTTAGTGGCCTGTGTGTAGCAGCGAAGGTCCTGTATGCTATTCTTAGTGGGTTTACCTTCTTGCTTGGTTAGCCAAAGCAATTTCTTTTTAAAGCCTAGGAGAACAGTCTCCAATGAATTCTCAGTGAGTGTACTGCTGCAAGAAGGTAAATGTATCTCAAAATTAAAGCATTATGGAACAATATATTTCACAAGTTCCATCTAAGTTCTTCCATGAAGCTGCGCTGTCAGCCTGGACACACCAATCTAAGCTGAGTGATCCCAGCACTTCAAGCTTGATAACCATTAAAGCAGGCAAGGTGTTAACACTGGGGACCTTGAGGTTCCACATATGTATTGCTTAGAGATGGGGTTTTTTTCTGTAAGCCATACACTTTTTAATGTTTCAGGCTTTTTCATTGTTGGAGAACACTRAATTTATGATGTTATTTCTGTCACTCCATTTAACTACTTACTTCCAAAATTTCTGAATTTCCTTGCAGATGTACATAAAGTCTGTCACATCAGCATTTAGTGTTTCAAGTACAAATAATAATCAACCATTGAGGCATTAAAACTGTGGGTCAGTTTTAAACCATTTATATTCAGGTATTTGCCTCAACACTTATCTTGTATCGTGTATACAAATATACACATGGAACTCCTGTTTGGGTTTTTTTTCTTCTTCTTTGAATAGCTATGAGTTTAATTTGTTTCATGTCTGGTACTGGAAGTAGCTATATTTGGAAATGGTTAGACTTCAGGTTCAATTGAGTATTTGTAATTGGATACTTCTTTAAAACTACTGCTGTGTATTTATTTTTCAGGGTTTGTGAAAATAAACACTCTACATTATAAATAGGGGTAAAAATAGATCAATTCTTTAGTTGCAAGTAAAATGGTATTCTTGCAGTGAGCAATATTGCCTTTGTATGAAGATAYCAAACTGAATGTATTGCGATGTACTTTGTTTTACTAGTCCTGGTTTATCTGCTGAGACAGTATTTATGGTAGACATTTTCTAATTTAATTAATTGCCGCTGATGTCCTCATTATTCTGTTTTCACAGTCCTTCTGAGGAGGCATAAACAAAAGGCTAAGTGGCATATCAGATTAATTTACCGGGCGCCGCCGCTCCGGTGTGCGCTGAGCACAAAGGGCCGTGAGCCGGCCGTGCTCCGCGGGGGAGGAGACGAGCAAACGAACGGGGGTGTGCGCGGCCGCCAGGCACGGCGGGGACACGGGGGACGGTGTTCAGCCCTACGGACACGGCGTGGAGCCGATCCATCCCCCAGCCCACCCCGCCGGAGGGCGAGCAGCCCGGGGACAGCGGCGGCGCTGGCTCCGGGCTCCCCAGCGCGCCGGGACGGCTCGGGCGCTCAGGGACCTGTTGAGCGGCCGGTGCGCGGCGGGTCCTCGCCCTCCCGCCGCACGGGGGACCGGCGGGAGCACCGCGGAGCTCCGGGGACACAAGGAAGCCCGGGAACTTCGTACTGTCCCTAGGCACCCAAAGCCTGAGGCATGGCGGGGCMGCTAAGCGCTGTAGGAATTAGGGCCAGCCTACTCGCGTCTGTTAACTACTCATGGAAGAGGCGCAAAATTGCGAAGGACGGCTCCCCGGGGGCAATGKTACAGGCACAGCCTCTGCGAGCGCAGTGGCAACGTTTATACTAATTAAAAGGGATGATTCCTCTGTCTTTCAGACGTTAGTATCGCAAGACCTTTAATTATTTCCGATGYCTCCATCCTGCCTAGGGGATGCCGACAGACTCGGGTCCTGCTCGGGCTCTCCCGGGCGCACRCTGTGCCACCCCGGCACGGTCCGGCAGCCGGCGCCTGTCTCGACGCTGGCTCGCCAAGAGCTCAGGTCTGCGGCCGCCGAGCTCACTCTGGTACCAGCTCAGCTAACGTGGGGAACCTCGCTCCCCGSCGGGGGCTGAGCGTGTCAAACCAGGCGCTCCGCTGCGTGGGAGCCCCGTCCCGTGCCGTGACTGCGTTCCTCCCACCCACCTCACCCTTTCCCCACGCAGCACCACCCTCTCCCGAGCTCACCCGCAGCCCCCGGCTCCCCTTTCTAGCCCGGGAGTTTCCCTTCCTCGAGGGAGCGGCGGGCTCTTCTCGGCCCTGCGGGGGCAGCGCTGCTTTTCCCCCACCCCCCGCTCCGGTCTGGGCAGAGCTGCGAGCAGCGCTCCGCAGCCCGAAAGCGGGCAGGGGCCAGGGCTGCTCTGCCTGCGGGGCCGCCCTGACAGCGGGCTGGGAACGGCACCTGCGGAGCGGCTCTCGGAGAGGAGAGAGCGTCGACAGCCCGAGCAGCCTCGGCGAGCACCCGGCCCCTCGGTGGCCCTACGGCACCCGAGGCGGAGCGGGGCGGCGCTCCCTCAGGTTCCTGGCCAGCGGTGGAGAGGCGGCCGCCGGTGCCCCTCGCCCGCTTCGCGCCGCCCGGGATCGGGCTCCGCTCCCCCGCCACGCACCCGCGCCGCCTCCAGCGGCCGCCCGGCTCCCCCTCCCCGCCCGCTTCCCGCCCTTCCCGCGCCGCTCCGCCCGCTCTCCGCAAAGTGCCCGCTCCCACGGGGAACCCCGCTCCGCCCGGGCGCCCGCTGCCCTCCTGTCCCCGGATGCCCCCGGCGCGGCGCCCACCTGGTTGTTCTTGCAGAGGTCGGCCCACATGCTGGTGCCGTCGCCGCCCCGCATGAGCACATGGTAGGTGAAGAAGTAGATGCCGGGGATGGAGCAGGTGAACTTGCCGGTAGTGGGGTCGTAGTGGTTGCCCAGGTTGGTGACCACGTCGTCGAACTTGAGCACCTCGTAGCCCTCGTGCTGCCGCTTGAGGCCGGCGTAGAAGGCGATCTTAGGGACGGTGCTGTAGGTGGCGGCGCTGATGGCCCCCGCCGCGTTCAGCCCCGGCGCCCCGGGGGGGCCCGGCAGGCCCTGCCGCCCCGGCTCGCCCTTCTCACCCGGCGGCCCCACCGGGCCGGGCGGCCCCGGTTCCCCCGGCGGACCGCGCGGCCCCGCTTTGCCCGGCCGGCCGGCCTCCCCCTTGGGCCCCTGGATGAAGGTGGGCAGGGACTGCATGAGCCCGCGGTCGGGCGTGGCCGCCGTGCTGGGAGCCTTGGTGCCGCCGTAGGGGTCGCAGACCATGCGGCAGGTGCCCAGCATCTCGTAGTGCGCCGAGGTGCCGGCCGAGCTGACCAGCACCGGGATGAGGATGACCAGCAGCAGCACCATCACCACCCCCAGCGCGCCGGCCGCGATCAGCCGCCGCCTGCTGCCCACCAGCCGGCTCAGCGCAGGGCGATCCTCTTGTCTGCTTTTGGACAAAATCTTGATGGTTGGCGGGGTTCCTCCTCAGAGCCGAAAAAACGCCGAGCCCGTGCGAGCTCGGCTCCCCTGGGGCTCGGCCGCCCTCCCAAGGGCCGCCGGTGTTGCGGGGGCTCCCGCGGGTCGCGGCGCTCCGCTGCGGCCGCTGCASCCGCCGGGCGGGCGAAGGAGTGGAGCGGAGCGGGAGAGGGAGAGCTGCCGCCGCGCCCCGGCCGCCCGCACTTTTATGCTCCCGCTGGCGATCGACCTTTTTTTTTTTTGCAGGCTGTGCCAGTCCGAGTCAACTTTCCCTGGAACTTGCCTTTCCTCTCGCGATCGCCCCGCTCGCCTCCTCGCTCTCTCTCTCTCTCCCTCCCTCTCTCTCTCTCTTTTCGCAGAGACGACAGTCCTCAGCGGGGACGCGCCTCCCGGCYGCCCCGGTGCCCGCCGCCCAGTGCCCGCGCCGCCGCGCCGAAGCCGGAGCCGGAGCCGAAGGGAGAGCGGGATCCTGCCCGGGTGCCACCTGCCAGGAGAGGAGGAGGCTGACGAGCGCGCTGGAGCAATTTATAGGCACCCAAAAGCGCAGGGGAAAGGGGAGCTGCTTTGGCATCTCATTCCAGCATCTGCTCTGCTCTTCCCACTCACAGAGAGTTTGGCATTACTCTGGCAGTGTGGGAAATATATATTTTTTTTCTTTTCTCCCTCCCCCACCCCTCCCGCAAACGGATGAACAGCGAAATCGTGAGCCTCACTCACTAGCTGCATCTTGCGATGACAGCTCTTTCTGAGGCAGACCGAGAGGAAGAGATGTGCTTAGCAGCCTCTGGGTACCCTTCAGGTCACAGATCGAGAATTAAAAGGTCAAACCACCTCCTGCTAACGCTTCCCTGAGCCCGCTCCGGCATGTTAGTGTTTTCTGGGAAATACCGCTTTAAATGCAGCGATGTTTTACCAATTGTCCAAGTAAAAGTTATTTGCAAACACACCTCCCACAATAATAGAGATAAATATCTCTGGCAATTTCGTATCTCCCTCTTCCTCCTCGTTCCAATTGAAACCATAAAGGCAGAGAAGGAAATAGTTTTTCCCGTGAATTAAAAYTGACATACTCATCACCGGCTACTGTGTTTCCGAGTGTTTAAGCCAGCCGCTGCTCTGCTTGGAAACTGACACTGAGGGAAAGTGTTCCCTTTTGTGCAGAAGCCAAAGAAAGCCCGGGATATATGCAAATCGACAGATGCGTGGACCTGAGAAAAGATCTCTTTGGTTTAAATTGGGGAAAGCAAGGCATTTTGTTAAATCTTGTGGGTTTGGGGATTTTGAGGGGGAAGGAGGTTTGTTTGGTTTTTGTTTGTTTGTTTTTCCTGTATTTTTTTCTTTGTTTTGTTTTTGTTTTGTTTTGTTTTTTGGCTTGGTTTAGTTTGGTTTTGGTTTTTGGTGGGGGTTTTTTGTTTGTTTTCATTTTTATTGTTTGTTTTGGTTTGGTTTTGTGCATGAAAGGTTTCTCCTCCCCCAAGGTCTGGTGGGCAACTCTGTGACTGACTGGGAAGGTGAATATGCAATATAAGTGACATTGTTGCAGAGAAAATATTAAGGAWATTGTCCTGCTTACAGATATACAAGGTACACAAAGAGCTGTTTAAATAAACAAACAGAATTGATTCCTAAATCATACTTCTGTATTCAGGAGCAATGGACGTCAATCAAACCTGGGTGACATTTGCCTGTCAATACAGGGATGATGGCTGGGAAGAGTGTGACTTATTACAGCAAGGCAAGAATCAGAAATGAGCAACAGCAGCAAATAGGACAACAACCAAATAATGGCATCTCCAGTGATGATCAGAAGGCTGTGATCTTGTCTTGGATTTTATTAGCACGAATCTGCTCTCCCCTCACCAGTTCTCTTTTATATCTTTTCTATTCTGCAACACAATAAGGTCAAACAAGCAGGCAGTGGGAAACAAAGATTCATTGATTCTTCCTTTTAAGCAGAAATGTCAGCAGCTCCTTTTGCTCTTTCCTGAGAGACTCAAAGGCAACGAGTGTGTCCATGCCGTGCAGAGATGGGCCAGTCCAGCTCCTTATCTCCCCAGAAAACTGTCGACAAAGCTTTCATTCATGCACTCACAAATATTCCTCCCTCTCCTTTTTAATTTTTTTTCTCTTTTCTCTAATTCTCTGTCTTAAAAACATTCTTTATCTGGCACTGACACAAGCTAGCCAATTCCCTTAGCTCAGGGCTTCCCCTCAAGACCCAGGCAGGCAGCTGAACACACTTGGAGGGTTATGTTCATATCTCATAGCTCTCTTCACCCYATGGGAAAGGGCTTTCAGCACTGTTTTTTCTTCTGGGCAGAAGAAACAGAAAAGCTGTGCCAGGAGTGACTGCTCTGTCTCAGCCTCTAGCTGGACCCTTGAGGTGTTGCATTTAGTCATCCCTAACCCAGCTGGTTTTTGTGACATCAGGATGTGCATAAACCTTCATTGCAATGGCTGTGTTAYACATTAGACAAAGAGCAGACCTCATCCTCAGATAGACACAAGCCTGTTGAGATCTGTGAAGCCAYCTGATGCTGGGTCACATACTGGCATAATGCACACCCTCAGTTCCTTACTCCAGCTAGGATAAACCTGGTTCTGAAAGTGAGGTCCTACCATACCAAACATGTTTCCCTTCTTAATAGACAGTTTTATCCTCATGCATACTGSCTGGGGTGCTCATTCACTCTGAACTGTGGCAGACTTTCTCCCTAAGAAGACAGCCACAGAAATCACAGCCAGAGTAACCAGAATAGAGAGATTAGGGCAGATACTGGGTTTTCAGTGGAACTTGTATGTTACTTGGGAACATAACCTGGGACTTGGGATTTAGTTACCAGATGAACCTTAGTTCCCAAGGAAATATCATGTTTTCTTGGAAAACTAAGAATAGGAAACTACAGTRCTCAGAAGTTATGCACCAGAGGTCTCAGCAGCCTGGTGCAAATTAAAAGGAAATGTCGAAACCTCTTTTTACCATCGGGCCTTTGTTGTCCTGAAGTGGTGTGTCAAAACACTGATTTGCTGTAGTTCAGGCCTGGGTAGCACTGACATTATAATCTCTCCATGCTAAAAGCTGGCAGTCCAGATTGACAGTCCATTCTTTGTATAACCATTATACYTACATGAGCTGCTGCCAGTGTTAATGTGCTAAACTGATTTGTATTTTTGAAGCTCTCTAGCAGGCTTGCTCCAGCCCCTCAGCTTGTCTGCTTCCCTTCCCGTTCTCTGGGCCCTTGTGCATKCAGACACGCAGTTGGTGTTTGAGCTGCATTCCCTGCAGCTTCTGCCATTTGCAGCAGCCTTCTCACAGCTCTTAATGACTAATTAGTGAATATCCATACAGACACTGAAAGACATACAGCATAACRTGCATGTCCCTTTTACATGTGTGCCGCTGCTTCAGCACTAACACAGGGGAAAACTGAAGAAAAACCCCCATGAATCCATCCASTGGCAACAGGGGAGCACGTTCTGCAGTCACCAAGCACTAAATGGCTCCTCACACTGCTAAATTCAAAGTTAGCCCTGGAAGAAAGCTCTGTGAAAAAAGGCAAACCTTTACCAACTACAGTAAGCAGGGGTAACATGGAAGAAAGCATATGCCTAGCAAACGGGTGTGCGAACACTGTGCCAAGCTCCGTACTGCTTCTGCTCACTCCTATCTGCATCTGCTCTGGCTTATATTTGCAATCTCTTTTATTATTATTTTACAGAAAGGTTTTGAATTCCAATCTGCTCAAAAATTAAGGCTTTGCAACACTGTACTGTTAGAAACACTGGTTAATTGTGTATGTAAAGGTTATCATTTCAGCCTGGATACCAGTGGTATGGTCAAGGAAAAAACATGCACTCACYCCAACACATAATTATGTTCAATGCTGCAAAATATATCATAAAGAGGGAAAAATATTCATATCAGTATAGGTGGCTCAAATGTACCATGGTGACAGACATGGTGGTGACATGTTGCTATCCCAAACCATCCTTGGTATCCCATTTCGTGTCTGTTCCCTTAGTTTGGTAAAATCAGCACTGGCTTTTGTGTCAGGTAGCAGGGCCTGGGGAGGACCATGCCCTGCACCAGTTTTGGTAGGAGCCCGTACTCTCACAAAACCTGTTCTGGTCAGGATGACTGAAGACCAAATGTGTTTATAGTGCTGGAAGTTGCCCACTGTATTCATTAATAAAAATTAGGCTTTTCATGCTCATGCAAGGAAAATCAGCTTTGGTGTGTAAAAGAAAAAAATGTTWTGCAGATTTTTGGAAGCTTTTCTATGTCCTTTGGAGCTAAGGGATTTAAGCAATCTTTATGTGTGATTTGAAATATTGTAGATTAAGCCTTATTGCACCTAATAAAGCCCTTTGACAATTAGTCTTTGAATGCAAAGGCAAACAGGAAAATTATCCAAAGAAAATGTATCCAGCCTTGAAAGGGTTACATCCACTTTTCAAATCCAGATGAGGAGGGAATTTGGGGAGGGCTGTCGCTAAAGTGACAGGGCTCAACAAGGAGAATTTGCAAATAAATTTGACACATTTCTTCCTTTTTAGTTTTTAATCTGAAAAGATCAGTCAAACATGACTGGTTACTGGGCGGGGGGAAGGGGTGAGAGCAGAATTAAAGTGGAAAGATTGGAACCAAAATCATGCATGTCATGTTTTGACTGGTGAATTACCACAAATATAAAAACATAACTGTGTATGTAAAAATAAGCTTTAAACACATAGGGAGCTAAAGATTACACATTCAACTTACAAAGTCTAAGAATATCAAATAATCATATATGACACTTGATAATTTCCAACATAAATAGTGGTAATCAACCATAAAAGATGCTCATAACTGTGAGTGTCCCTATTTATTCAAAATAAAACACTAGTTGCAAGCATAAAAGATTGTTCTTTTGGGTTTCTTCTTTCCCATTYACCTTCAAGCCTGCTGGTCTCTGTCTTGTCTCTATTCCATCCCTCTGGAGTGGTGGTCTAAGCTGGTGAA